CCGCCCCTTCGAAGGGCGATTTCAAGGCTGCGGCTGGGACGATTGAGAAGCCCGCCCCTTGGAAGGGCGATTTCAGGGCTGGGTGCGGGCACGCGTTCAGAAGGGCCGTTTGGGCGGGCCGAACCGGTATTGCACGACCCAGATTGCGGGCCGGTCAGCATCGGCCTGCGATCTGGGTCGCCCGCGGGTGGTGACCGGGCCGCAACCTGGGCCGGTAGATATGATGTTAGCGATTCTTATAGCATTGTAGATTTGGGGGAAGACGGTAACCACAGTCCAAATCCACAATCAGGGGCGGAAAGAGAGTACCTTTTCACACCATAACCCAGTCTTAAACAAACAAACAAACAAACAAACAAACAAACAAGAGGGAAAATGAAACAAGAGGAGATTATGTCCAGAGGCATCGGTGAGGTAGTGATGGTTTTGCACATTTACGACCAGGCCTGTGGCCATGCCGGGGGTTATCCTTACAATACGCTCCTTGGCCAGGTCAGATATCTGCTTCCATGTCCTGCACATTCGCAACCATGTCCACTGTCTGCATCTGTACGAACTTACTACAAAGTCTACCCGCCCATATCTGGCACGACGTAGAAAAGTGCGGTCTGCGCACCCAATAAAACCTAGATTAAACCACCACTCCAACGTCCCCTGCACTATTCATTTTTCTTGTCTACAAGTACGGTGCCAAAGTCTACAGTGCCTGGGCCTGGCACAGGTTCGGTGGGGAAGGGTACCACAATTATTTTTTCTCACATCCGCACTGCAGATTCCCTTTTTTTAAGTTTTTGTTCTTTTTTTTTAACGATCAGAACAGATACTACACTTGATCTTAGCCAAAAGGCCACACTGTAGGTTCGGATGGAGAGGTGGTTTAATGGCATTCAGAAAAATGGGCTATCTCCAGGCAGCAGGAATTCTCCTCCAGGAAACTCACCCTCGCCACTGACGCACGAAAAGTCGCCGAACGACCCATGGTCGCAGAACTGCATGTGTCCGCTACGCTTGATCATAACCTGCTTAGATGGATTGCAATTGCCCACCCCTCCCCGCCCCCCTCGAAGAAAAACAAGCATCATACTCAGTCCGAGGGGGGTTGGCGACATACAGAGGGTTAAAAAAAATGGGATGCATCTACTCTGCTCAGACCCACACAGATTGCAATTTATTAACGGATGAAAAGTCAGACAATTGATTGACCAAGGAAAATGCAGCCAAGGTGTTGGCAAAAAATACACAGACGCTCACAATCGCATCCAGCAGCAATAACAGACTGCACATCATTTACGCTGACCTGAACAGCCACACTGCCGCACATCAACCCCTTGTGGGAACAACATTGGTGTCAAGGCAAGAGGTTCCGTGCACAGGACCTGGCACACACAGCAGGGTAGATGCTGCAATGCATGATTCTGAGTGGCACGGATCAACCTCTCCTAAACCCCCACTGTCCTTTGCATCATCGAAAAGACACCAGTATACGAGGGGGTCGCGTATCAAATGCACCTGGCCGCTTGGCTGGCCATTGAGGTTTCATTCAGACCTGCGACTCAGGGGGGGGAAAAAGCAAAAAAAAAATAAAAAAAGGCTTCCAGCAAGTGGTGCTGAATACCATCAATCTCCTCCGATGGCCCGCCACCAGTTCAACGTTGCTTGATTAGGGGGAGAATGCAGGTTTCAGCGCGTGTTCCTGTAATAAACCAACAGCCTCACTGGACACCCCGTCAGTACAGGACGGGGCTGCCAGTACCAGCAATTTTCAGTGTTAATCCACATGAAAAAAGCCGCTGGAGCCCCGTTCCTATAAACAACCATGTGCCGCATCCCGTTCAACAGTGAAGGAAGCTACGGCCCAGCTGTGAAATACATCAGCAAATGTTATAATCGCGACCACGTCTTTACCGCCAGCTACATCCAGAATGTTACACAGCTTGCCGCCGGACTTTACTTTCCTCATGGGAATTACCGAGGATGTACGCACACGGGGACTTCTCAACTGGGTCCGGCCATCTTTATGGCCAGGTGCATCTAGGAAAGTCCGAACATGAAAAAAAAAAAAAAAAAAGGAAAGCCCCAACATGAGTAACACCCTAATTCTCACAGAACATACCAGCCCTGCCAGCATTCCATACATGCATGCTGTTAAAAAAAGAAAAAGTAAAAGAACAAAGAGGTCACGTTCTGACGGACCTATTGCAAGGAACCTGACTGTTCATCACTTGCTGGAGTGCATCAGATCACATGCATATACACTTATTTCACAGATTGCAGAGCCTCACACAAAACCCAATAGAAGATGAATGAGAACCAGGAAGCTCAACTCAATTATCAAACCCAGATTTAGAGAGACAACGTCATGCGTTCAAAGTGTATAGCGCTGAACAGGATTACAAGTCTCCTTCGATCAACATGAGTTCCAGGCCTGGCGCTCATCAGCGCCAGCTACCAAATGTCAACAACAGCACTCAACAGGTAAGTGTCACCATAGCTCACACTTCCCCCTCTCTCGTCTGCCTTCTTCTCTCTCTCCCTCTATGTCTATAGTCCTGGTCTACCCTCATCCATCATGCATGCACACTCCCTATCACACGAGGATCTACTCAGAATACTACTCACTGGTATCTCCCACTGACTATCCCTACTAACATACTAACTAGCGCTGGCGCAGCTATGGCTGCCTTCCCTCTAGCCAGCACTCTCGTCCTCCTTTCCGCATAGCGCTGCTCTTCAGCCTAGCGCAGCTCACACACATCTGGTGCACAAGTGCCCCGGCACTTCCACACTCTCATGCGAAGTAAGCATCTGTCCGAATGGGAGGCTGGCCAGTCCATTATAGTGCTAGACTGGTCTGGCGTGGCCTGCATTCAGCCTCAAAGGTGCCTGGGACTCCTGCCCAGTACCGATTGTTGCAAAGTGTGTGTCCCAGTATCTTTTCCCATGGTCTGCTGCTGATTTGGGCCATCGGGCCTGTCTGTTGGACTACTAGTCTGAATCAGGACTGACTCGTGGGATTATGACTGGACTGGGACTGTAGCCTTTGACTCATTGCCGAACAGACATGACTTTTCAACGAGGAGACATGACCCTAACTCAGTCTTGAAAACTGTGTCCAATACCTGTTCGTGCAGGGCCTGTTCGTGACTGTTCGAAACGACTTTTCATTTCATTATGGATGCGACATATGCCTCAGGGAACTTTGTCTTTCGAGTTGCTCCTCGTGAATTTAGTTCTGGCCGACAGGGCCCCTTGCTGTCGGGGTTCTCATCTAGGGTCTGATTCGTAAAGGCCCTTTTACTCTCGCCGGCCTAATTTCGAAGTCCTCTGAGAAACACTTATCTGTCCACAATACTGAGACCTGTTCTTGCTCTTTCGTAGTAAGATACTATGTTCGGTGCAGTTTCAATTAGATCTTCCCTAGTAAACCAGCGATCTTCACTTGGATCTTGATATGCAAATCTGACTTTATATTGGCGCTGAGGTCTACCTCTGCATCCAGTCTGGATAGTACTTTCAGCAACAATCTTATCAACATCAAATTTTCCATCCATACTTGGAGGAATTGCTGACCTTCGACTGGGAAATAGTTCGTTAGTTACACAAGGTAGGAGCTTTGACGCTTGAAACACCGGGTAGGTATGCAAGTGTGGAGGTATCTCAATAACATAGGAGGGTCCATCCACATCTCCTATCACATCCAATACTTGCCAGGGTCCTCTACGCAGGTAACAGTTTCTGAGATATGTTTTCTTCTGGGATAACTTCTTTCGATTTTACCCAAACCAGACCTACAGCAAACTGAGGTGGTCTCCTGTGTTTATTGGCCTGTTCAATCATTTGATGCTGTGCTTTTATTATGTTTTCCTTTACCTTTTATAAATCCTTCTGATATTGCACTGCAAACTCTTTGGTTCCTGGCGGAAGTTTAAGGACTCTATGTGGGTTTAGACAATCTATAGGTCTGCGAGGACTCCATCCCAAATGTAACTCCATCGGAGTTCTGCAAGTAGACAAGTGCACAGAGTTATTATAGGCAATGGCAACTTTGGGCAAATGTTCATCCCAGTGAATCTGATCGGGACGAATGTACATACGCAATGTCTGTTACAAAATCTTGTTCATTTGTTCAGTCTGCCCATTTGTCTCAGGGTGTCGACCTGACGACATTGTCAACTTAGAGCCATAAACATTCATTAGTTGTTGCCATTGTTCACTGGTGAACCGAGAGTCTCAGTCACTAACGATAGTCAAGGTATGTCCGTAGTCTTTCACCCAATGGTTAAAGAATTTCCGAATTACTAAGTCAGTTTTAGATTTCCGCAGGCAATGCTACAAATACAGCAAACTTGCTGAACCTATCAACAATTACCATAACTTGGCTTTTTTCCATTCCTGTTTTTCACCTTAGTGTCCATGAAATCTATGGACACAGAGTCTCCAGGACCTGCTGGGATAGGCAAGGGCTTCAATAGACCAAGGGGAGGCTGTGTGGCGCTTTTGTTCCATTGGCACACCTGACAGCCTTGCACATATGCAATACATTCAGGTTTCATTCGAGGCGGTGTAAGAACGCAGGATATTAGCGTAGGTTTTTCTCCACCCGAAATGGCCTTCGGTGTCATGACATTCCCCTAAGATCACACTTTTAATCTCTTCGTTATTTGGAATACAAAGCCTATCTTGCACATCAGTTCTCTCAAACAGTACTCCTTGGGTTACCTGATAGTTACGAAACTCTTGTGACGCTTCTTGAATACGTTTTAGCATAGCGCTATAAACAGCATCAATGGAATAAACATTCCTAATCTTATCTTGTAAATCGGTGCCTACATCTAAATATGTTACAATAGCACCGAAGAAATCAGATCTTCGACTCACTGCGTCGGCAACAACGTTATACTTACCCCTTCTGGCTTTAGTTCAACAAATGGACCCGTTGCGGCTCCGCCCGCGGCGAGAAGAGCAGAGACTGTGAGAAGGGAGGACAGGTTGCCCTCTCCTCTTTTCTCTGCCGCCGTCGCTGTTCTTTCTATTGCTTCTTCCCTATCCGACCTCCTTCTCCATAGATCTCTCTTCGCTCCTCCTCCTTTCCGTCGGGTGCCACGCAGCACACTAATCTACACGGCAAAAAAAAAAAAAAAAAAAAAAAAAAAAAAAAAAAAACTCCCTTCCATCGCCTCTCCCTCTCCCATATCCCAACCCCCATCGCGATCTCTTCCGGCTCCCCTTCTTTCACGCCCCCCTCCTCTATCCCCGCATGGTTTCTCCCTCCTCCCCTTCTGTCGCCGACCTCCCTTATCCCTCCTTTCCATGCCGACCTCTCCCCCTTCCCATCCATCGCCTCCGACCTCCCCTATCTCTCCTTCCTCCTCCTCTATCCCGATTCCCATCCTGACCTTTCCCCCCTCCTCTTTCTTTGCGTTAGATCCCTTCTTCCTCCTCTGTCCCGACTGCCATCCCAATGTCTCCCGCCCCTATCCTGACCTCTCCCTCCATAGATCCCTCCTCCCTCCTCCTCCTTTGCGTCGTTCCCTCTCCCTCTCTCCTCCTCGTTCTCGATTCCCATCCCGACCTCTCCCCCTCCCCATCCCGACCCCTCCTCCCAACCTCCCCTCTTCCCTTCTTTCGCCTACGTTCCCCCTATCCCGACCTCTTCCTTCATAGATCCCTCCTCCCTCCTCCTTTTCGTCGAGTGCCACGTGGCCTTTTCGTCGTTCCCTCTCCCGTATCCCGACATCCATCCCGACCACTCCCGCCTTTCCTTCTTTCCTGCCCTCCTCTATCCCGACTAGTCCTTGGGTTACCCGATAGTTAGGAAACTCTTATGGCGCTTCTTGAATACGTTTTAGCATAGCGCTATAAACAGGATCAGTGGAATAAACATTCCTAATCTTATCTTGTAAATCGGTGCCTACATCTAAATATGTTACAAAAGCACCGAAGAAATCAGATCTTCGACTCAGTGCATCAGCAACAACGTTATACTTACCCTTTACTGGCTTAGTTCAAAGTCATACTGATCAATTTCCGCCGCCCACCTTGTCAGCTTAGGTGTCATCCCGGCTTGTGTTTTTAACCAGCAAAGTGTCTCATGATCTGAGTAAACTTTAAAGTGGCGTCCTAAGAGATAATGGCGCCAATGATCCAAAGCTTCCCGGAGAGCGAACAACTCTCTTTCATACGTGGAAGCAGCGACCTTCTCACTAGGCAGTCGTCGGGACATAAATTCCACAGGCCTGTATCCA